CCACTAATATTGCCGAGTGGGCTGAAAAAGTACGTTGAGTATTCTGATTTTCACCAACAATAATCGAAATATCATAAAAGTTGTCGAGTCTGTTTAAGTGTGAAGTCAATAACAAGTCGGATGTCATTTTTATTTAGTTAATTTTTTTGTTTGTTCTCTGGATATCGATATTATTGAAAGCGGTTGTACAAGTTTATCGTTATTATTATACATGTATTAGATCAGTCTGCGATTTTATCTTTATTGAGATTTCTTTTGCTTGTGTCCTATCTGTAATGGCAAGGAAGTTAGTCGTATAACATGAAATAAACACTCTTTATATTTAACTCAGGAGCCTATTGAATCACAAATGAAGAAAAATAAGCATAAAAAAGATAATTTGGAAATTGATCATGAATTGAAAATCTATCGACAAGTAATTACTAGTGCATCTCAACAAGTAACTGTCATCAAATTGTCATCAGCTCTTACAAAAGATACAGGTCTAACATCAACTCTTAATGTGCAAGACATAGCAATATCAACTGATTCATACGAAGAAATGTTCCAAATTGGACAGTTTAGGACCTTTGATACTTGAAAAGAAAGCAGTGGAGATATTTATGAACAATACTTATCGAATGATGATGCTGAGAGAGATATTGAATCTAATACTGATGATTAAGAAAAGATTTTAGAACAATTGGATTTGCGTGATGATATTAGCCTTGTTTCATCCAATTTATCTGATAACTATAATGAGTCTTCATCATATACAATGAATTCGCCAACAAATTTATTGCATCATTTTGCAAACCAGCACCATTGGTGAATATACATACTCTAAATTTAAACATTGTCATATAATGGATCATAATGTGGTTGTTATTATTTCAACATATAATAAGACTATCAAAGACAGCTATCAAATTACTATTGGACTTTTTTGCTAGTATTCTCACTTATTTAGATCAGAGTCAGTTTGTCACTTTTCCCACTAGCAATTATTGAGCAATGAAAATGCTAGAAATCAATACAAAATTTATTGTGTATCCCAAATGTTATCACCTTTTTTGTCCTATCAAATATTAAAATAAAATATTACAAGCATTCTGTTCTACTTTGAATTGTGGCAAAGAGTTAAAAAAAGTTGTCAGAACATCCAAAGGAAACAATATTATATAAAATAAATTTATAGAGCTAATTATTTTAATTTTTATTTACTAATTTTTACATAATCTTTTTAAATAGACTATATGGATGTTTTCTTGTGCATCAATAATTAAATGGCTTTTACACTTGCTTCAACATTCTGATATTGAGAAACTTATAATAATATGTGATTAATAATATCAGATTCTCAAAATTTGAAATCTAATGTTTACAATGGAAAAGTATAACAAACTCTGGATAATGGTGAAGACAATAAGTTTTTTTGTGGTGATACTTTGGATAAACATTTAGAATTTTCACTAAATGTCAATTGGTTTCAACTCTGTAAACACATACCTACTAATATTGGAGTGATTTATTTGACCGTATTAAATCTTCTTCACCATATCTGTTATTTAAAACATGATGTAATACTTTTGGAATAATTACTGGACCATCTGAATCTTCTATAACAGAAATTCATCACTACTTAGAACTGATAATATATGAATTAGAACTTCTATGAAAAGATATAACTATAGAAACTACAAAATATCTATAAGATTGCATAGTTTGAGGTGCTCTGATTTTTATTGCATGTGATATATCTGCAGCATGAAAGGTATTTTTTTAAATTAAAATTTTATTAAGAGTTTTATTTAACTTAATTGCTTTTGTATTGCATATATCTGGATTTGTGGATCATTCAGCAAAAAAAGGTTGTTATCGATGTATTCGAAAATTTGAGACTTTTCCTAATAATCATCCAATGTAAGCAGGTTATATTAATTTTTCTAGATTTGATCAAGTATATTCCCAACTCGATAATAAAATACACAAACAACTTGCCTCTAATTGGAAAGATGGAAGTAAAGCTAAACAGACTCATATTTTTACAGAATACAGAATCTGATATTCGCCATTGATCAAACTACCTTATATAGATCTTATACACTTTACTATCATAAATTCTATGCACAATTTATATTTTGAAACAGCAAAAAAAAATGATATATTATTGAACAGATATATAGCAATAGAATACTGACTGCTCTATGCTTTCAAAAACAGATCTCAAAGCAATTCAAGAAATCATTGACACAAACTTACCAGCTTCTGATATTGGTCATATTCCATATAAGATTATTGCAGGCTTTTCTTTATTTACAGCTGATCAATGACCTAGTTGGATATTGTTATATTCAACATTTTGTTTATGTAATTATCTTTCTGATGTTTATTGACATTATTGACAAATGTTTGTTTGCGCAAATGCTTTGTGAAGGCAATGAATTATAAGTAATAAGGATATTCAAAAAGACCACGATTTCATGTTACAATTCTTGTATCTTACTGAATCTCTTTGTGATTCTGAGTTTATTACATCAAATATGCATATGCATATACATATATATGAATGCTTGGAAAATTATAGTTCAATTTATGGTTTTTGTGTTTTGGATATGAGCAAATGAACAGAGAATTATCAGTATTATATACCTCAAATCAGACAATACCTAACAATATCATAAAGCTAATTAATGAACAAATAAATATATATAGCATGATATTGAAGATTGCACCAAGCCTCTTATCAACAATGACTACTGCGCTGGATCATTTACAATTATGTGTCAAAATATTAGTTGAAAGTTTAGGTACAGTATCAATTCCGATACAAGCTGTGCTTAATTTCTGCAAAATGTCTCACAGCATCTATGAAAAAAATTACTGGAAGTGAGAAATTTTTCGGAGAGTATCAAACATCGTCTCATATTTTACATCTTGATGACAAAACAGTATGGACACTAGTAAAATACTAGTGAAAGATTGCATTTTTAAGTTTAGTTAATGTATAATTTATTTTTGCTTCATTATTGATAATATTTTGAGTGGTAAAAATACTTTTAATTCTTAGTAATTATATCAAAATATTCTTATTTGGTTTGTCTTTATAAATTGAAATTTTAACTGGAATTTTGAATAGTTATTTCTATTATTATTATTTATAATAGGTGCTTAATTAATATTACTACTAGTATTAGTATTTTTATTTTATTATTGCTATAATTATTAAAGTTATTGATTTTGTATTTTTAGTTAATTTTGATAAAATTAAATAATATCAGTAAAAATCTGTTGTTGTTTAACAAAGAGATAAATCTATTTATTACTTGTTAAAATTGTTATTAATTTATTATTGTATGTATATTGGTAAATATAAGTGTAATTATTTAAAGTATATATATAAAGTATATATTATAGCTTTAATAATCTTTATCTGCTGCTACCAAGTTGTAAAAAAACTTTCTTACATGAATAAATTTATTAATTATTATAAATAAATTATATCAATTGAGATAGTTTTCAGTTTTAATTTTAATAAAGCTTAATTCTTTATTTATTAAATAGTAAAAAGATCTAAAGAGCTATATTACAAAACAGAGATATTTAAATATATATTTGATATTTAACAAATTATAATAAATTATTAATAAATAAAGAATAATTGATTCTAAATTGTTAATCTTAAAGGTAATGTATCTCCAAATTATATTGCACTTAATTAGATATGTATAAAATATAAATAATAATATAAATATTAATAAAAATAATAAATATAAAATTAAAAATAATAAATATGAAATAAAAGAATAAATAAAAATAAAAAAAATTAAAAACAATATGTATCTAAATTAATAATGTGATCTATATTTTATATTTAATCTATTTGGTAAAATATTAAAAAGTATTAAATATAGATTTATATTAATTTCTCATATATTATATGAAAAATAATAAATATAATACAAGAACTGATAAATATGATACAAAAAAATACAAGAGTATATGAAAATTATTATAAAATTGTACTAAATATATTAATAGTAATTAATTAATTAAATTAAAATTAATACTAATCTATATATTATTTCATTATAATTTTAATCTGATTCTTTATATTCAGAAAGTAAATTAATTATATTTTTAATATCTTCTTCAGAAATTATCAATTCTTACTTTATAAAGTAAATCAATTAATTAATAATTATCTGTAGAATTTTGATCAAAAACAAGATGAAAAATATATTTTTTATAGATGAATATTCTTGAATATTTATTATATTTAAAGAGATATAAAAAGTATTGGATACTTTTATAAAACATCTTATAAAATAACTAACTTATAAATTTTATTTTTTATTTTATTTTATTAAAATATAGATTAATACTTTATTTAATTCCATTTACTATAAGAACAGTTTGAATTTAACATGATATAAACTTAATCAAATTATAGTAATAATTTATGAATACTATATTTCATTCTTTCTTTATCCACTGTTTTAATTGCATAATACTTGAAAGCTGTAAATCATATCAATAAATTTTAATTTTAATATATAATAAAATATTTTCTATTAGACTAATATCAAAGCTTTGGATTGATTAGAAAAGTAACTTAATATTTAAAGAGGCAAGAAAAGAATGAATAACTTTTGCAGTGTAAACAGATACATTTTCTTCTTGAAAAAGAAATTTTTTTGATTTTTTTTGAATGAGATTAAATCATAAAAATTGTATAATTAGCAAAATTTTACAGTATATAATGTCAGTAATATAACTAACTAAGAAAATAAAAGGATTGTGTTCTTATTAGTTGATATCCTAAACTCGTAGAAATGTTAAAAATTCAATTTGAACTGATAGAATACTGGTCAATTCATAGAACAGAATCAATTCAAGACTAAATTAATTCAGGACTGGTTATTGCAAGACATAATTTAATATACACAGAAAAAAATGATGAAATTTGAATATCTCATCATAGAAAAATCATTCACAACCAAAAGTAATTTATTAAAATTTCAAGTATTATTTATAATTGAGTTTATTATTTGATATGATTATAATAAAAAAAAATTTAAAATATTTTCATGTACAATATAATATGACTAATTTAGATGAAAATATTTAAGAACAAATTTTTTATTAAGAAAATATTAGCAGCTGTCAAAAAAAAATTATACTATTACAATAGTAACATAAAAATTGCAAATATAAAAATAATCGAAAAACATGAAAATTCCAAAAATAAAATCTCCTAGTATTATTTCACTTTTTATTATTTCACTTTTTATTTTTTCACTTTTATTTTTCACTTTTTATTTTTCACTTTTATATATATTATTTCACTTTTTTGATTTTTCACTTTTTATTTTTCACTTTTATTTTTCACTTTT